GACGTTAAGTGCCTTGGCACAATAATCAGTAGTAAACGCAGCGTCCAAAACATTGCTTTCGGGAATAGGGGTAAATCTTCTCTCTCTATCCAGCAGCTCATGAGTGCTCTCGCTGGCGAGATCAGAGATGACCTCATTGCGATCCTTACCTTCTTCGTAATCGCTCATTTTCTGTTTTCTGCGGATGAGCTTTCATTTCCACCAGCTCTTTTCGTAACGAGTATAATTCGCCTCGCAACAAGCTCAACTCTTTCTTGTGTTTCTCCTCCATTTCAGCTCTCTTTCTCAACTCTTTCTTGTGAATTTTTCCATTTTGGCCTTAAAGACTGAGAACATAGACGAGCACTTCTCTTCGACCATCTTATCGCTTTTTACAGCGCTAAGCGCAGGTTGTTGGCAGTCCTGGCAATACCAGTGAACTGTCTCTTTTCTGCGAATAACTTGACAATCTGTCTTGCTCAACATGCGCAATTGGTGCAGATGATTTCCCCCGCAACGATCGCATGCTACTGGGGCGTCATCGACGTTAACCGAAACCAGCTTGCAAAATTTACAAATTTCCCCTCGCCCAAACAAATCAATATTTAATTTTTGATTAATACTAAAAAATTAGAAATCTGGCTGAATATCACTCTGCATTAGGAATCGTTTAATAAATTCGCCTTTTTTACAATTTATCAGAACATTTATTGTTATCAAAATAAGACTAGTTTAGTTTTCAATACAACTTATCACAATAAGACTGCCAATTTTCAGGGATTAGGATTCCATATCTATGTCTCTGATAAATTTAACTAGCGCTTCGCTTCGTTTAGTAGATAAATATGAGCAAACACCAGCAACTTGGTAAATTATATGTTGCATGGTAAATTATATGTTGATAATTATGTTGATAATTGCTCCTGAGAATATATGAGGTTATCGATAATTGTAACAGAGCACTAACCCTGCTGGGGGCAGTTGCTTATCAAGCTGCAAAGCTGCATACGTACGTACTTTATTTACTACCAGCGAGTATCTGTGATAATGCGTGATACTCAGTATATCAGTGATGCTATACGAATAAATACAAATACGCGAATGCTATCTTTATGATTGCAGTAATTTGCGAGAATAAATAAAACTTACTTTATGTGATACTAAACATGACGTTATCTTGCACTGTGTTATCTTGCACTTCGAATATTTGTTGCTGAATGTAATATTATCAGGTCTTTAAAATGTTTCGATGTGCTAGAGAAACTTGTTGAAAACTCCTCGTGAGGTCAAATAGAAATTATATGATATATTGAATTAATTATACTCAATTATCATGTTCATCTTTCCTTTCTGATGAAATCAACATAGTTTGTTCGAACAAGAACTCATCTATAGTTCTTGCTCGAACTAAGAACTGTTGAAGCACGACTCATTCCTGTAAACCATCACATCTAAGCAATGGACAACAAATGCTCAGTCAGATATGGTTAGGTCACAAATGTAAAATTTCTCATAATATAAATAGTTTAATTACTGATCACGGTTTGGGTTGAGCAAATTTTTCTCATATTTAAAAAATTACGTTTTATTTTCGGCAGAAATGACGCTTGGTACGAAGGCTGCGTGGCTGCTGCTGGTGTTCGCTGCCGTGCCGCTGGAGGCCGCCGACTGTACCGGTATGTGCGGTGCTCAGCTCTTGTTTTTATTCTTTTTTAACGCATTACCGGCATTACTCTGATTACGTTAGAACCAGAAATGATCAGTTGGAATTCAACAAGTCCCAATGCTAACGGTGCAAAACAAACATTAATGTATATACCTGCAAACAAGAAAGTCATCACCTTGGATGCATTGTCCACAAGCTCGGGCTATCACATCAAAAAAAAAATCAATTATACCTTCAAATAAATTCTTTGCTATGTATAATTTTGCAATTCAATGCATCCATTAATCATGGACGGACAATATCTGAGAGAAGCCTTAACCTCACATTTCCATCCATTTACGAGCGCAAGACGAGATGACGCGGCCAGGACAAAACTTGTCATAATTTTAAGACGCTACTCACTTTATGATGGGAAAAATGAATCGGGAACATTTTAACTAGTGATACTTTCCGCACATAGCATTCATACGCCCATTTGCAGCACCAGACTTGACCACGATGACCTTCACAATAGCAAAGTGTGCATCGCTCCTTGGACAAAGTTTCACTTAATTCACCGAGTGCATCAGATCATCGAACGTTACAAGATTGTTACTAGAATAACTAATTTCAATCGGGTAGACAAAAAGACCCAGATTTATTGGAAGCCGAATGTAAGGGCGTTACGCGATTTTTGCAAGGGCTTACCCTTGGGCCTAAGCGGTTGTTCAGTAACAACAAACATTTTGAGTAAGGAACGCGTCAAAAGTAATCGTTTGATGCATCTATAATTCAATAACTTCAGCTCAATGCGCAGACATAAACGATCATCTGGCTGATGAATGCAGGGAAAGAAGTTTTTGTTTATGTTTTGTTTACATGCGTCCATAGCAACTGAAGGTGTAAGTAGGTTAGTATCTAGGCATTTAAATATTTAAACGGAATTTTTGCCGATTAAAATCAAGCAAGAAGGATGGAAGCTGAAGTCTTCTTAACCTTGACAATATAATCGGCAAATTTAAAAACTAACTCGCTCTGTATTTATGCACAAGTTAATGTTTTTACTTCTGATAGAAGGAAAGAAATTAGACAACTGAAGGTATCTGTAAAAGCTGCGCGAGTTTAAACATTGCATGAGGCATCTGAAAAACTTATTTCAAAATCAAATATTTGGATTGAATCACGACAATGAATGCTCGCATAATTAAACATCTAGCTGAATTAGTCGCTCGAGTGCAATAAAGCGTTACTCTTATATATTGAATGAATTTGTGAATGATAGGGAATTGGATAATATTTTTCATCACTTATTAGGTGCATTTTGATAAATGCTAATAAACTCATCAAAAATATATGCTGCGCTATTCGTCTATGTTAGATCCAGAGTACTCGCCGAATTCTACACGGCATGCAGGTTTTCGGTAACAAGTGTGAGCGTGAGGTTTCAGCAATAAAAGAGGGCTTTATAATTAAAAGGTGAAAAAGTTTACGGAGTACATTTCCTTATGTATAGTATCGAATTTTATTTGCATATTCAGTCATAGTCGTTTATAGTATTTGCGTGCTGACGATGGTAGTGTTAGGAAAATATCGAATTTTATATTTTATAATTTTTATTATATTTGTTTTCACTTTACATAAGCGGACGTTATATGTGTAGGTTCCCGTCGTATTAAGCCAGTCCCGCCTTTGAACCCACCGTGTCAAAGTGCCTTTAACTTGATCTTAGGTTTTGTACAGTGTTTTCAAATCACCGAGTTATCCAGTATTTTACTTCCTTCTATTCCGTATTGTTATAGAATAGTTCATTCGAGAGAAGCGTTTGTTCAAACTCTGACTTATATTTTTGTGTTCATTTACGTATTTGTTGCTCTAGAGTCTAGGGCCTAGGCTATTTATCCTGTATTGTTTTACTTTGGGAAAGCGTGGATTCGTGGAATTTTGAATACAACAGTGCTGAGAAAACTGAATAGTCTTTTATTGCGAGCCTTTGTAGGGGTCCACTTGTACAAGATGTACGGCTGGACGAACTTGGTTGACCCTACATGCAGTTTATTTAATGCAAGCATAGAAAATTTTAATCAAACGAACAGCAGTCACTCGATGGCTTTTTCACTCATACATTCTAATTAATATTGTTTCAGATCGTAATTGGAATTTTTTCGGTTTCCTACGAAACCGAGATAATGTCACCTCATTGGTCCCGACTTCTGACAGCCCACCTGCCGATGCTATGACGGTGAGCTGACTTTAGTGGTGAAGTTTTAATTAAATGTGAAGTTTTAATCAAATGCTAAGACTCAATACGTTTTGAATAGCGATAACTATGATGGAGCTCACTAGAACCAGTTTCACACTCAGCATCACTTGATATTCACCAATGGAATGTTTATACTCGAACCGCTTGCAATGTTAATATTGGTCATTTCACGCAATGAAGCAGGTTGACTCTGCGTGAACATTAAACCTAACAAAGACATAATCATGCGTGACAATTTAACCCCATGAAACAGGATAACAGTGCCTGGCCACTGTACACTATATAAGTACCAGGCTAGGCCAGCGTGTCCGTCATCTTTCCGTCATAACCTTCATCTTGCATTCGCAGGTCAATAACACAGCGACCTTGAACTGTTCTTCGGGAGATTCCGGTCATTTGATCTGTTTCACGATGCACTGCGAGAAAGCCACGCAGTCGAAGCCCGGGGGCTGCGAAAATTTTAGGTCCGTTGCCTCGAGCCTTTATTACGACAATGCGTCGCTCAATTCCACTTGGTATACGGAAGGCAGTGCTTGGGGTAAGTGTCCTTACTACATACTACAGGCGTTTCTGGTGAAATTTCCAGGAACCGCAGTTTACCTTGTTGCCTGTTGCCTGAGCAATTGATTGATGGGTGAGAGTATTCATGTCAGCGGCACTGTGCTCCCAATTGAAAACCTTAATCTTATTATTTTGGCGAACAGATGAATTTGCATCAGGAATTCGAATTTTTTGTAATTGATAATATTCGACGAGGGGGAATCGTCAAGAAAAAGTGGCATTTAAAAACATTGTGAAATAATTAAACAGACTGCTGAGGTACGGCGCAAGGCATAAAGTACTCGTGAGATAAGAGGTATAAATAAAAAAGAAATTTAATTTTCAAAGATTTACGCCTAATTCTAGAGTGACACGACAGAGCTGCGTATGATTGTCATTAAAATGTAAAGGATGGTTGATCGATATACCTACAATATTTGAACAAAATGTGCCACGCTTCGAGTCAAGAAGAGCTATTGCAGACTGCGCGCTGAATGTGGGGAACTACAACCTCCCAGACATCCTGGGCTGGCTGCCAAGGAGGTTCAGTATTACGGGTCGGGGCGTATTCGAAAACTTCACTAAAGAGCTATTCGTAAGTAAGCAAAAGAGTTGGACATATTATAGATAAAATGTTGATGTCTGTAAATTTTAAAAGCGTTATGTTTACTCAAAGGCTTTCTCTGTGTTCATGCCATCCGAATTTAGCAGAATTCAGAATTTAGCATCCGAGAATGCGCATCTGCACAGTAAGAGTTAGATCATCCGGTGACAAACAAGTAATTCCTTTCGATGAATCTTCAGGAAATGAATTCTCCCGCCAACACATTGCATGATGCTTGTCTATTTAAAATTATTCTTCGTTTTCAATGCCGCAACTTCTTACGCCTCGCGGTTGACATCTTGGGGCGCAGTTGGGTCAGGCCGCGGCGCTGACATGCCTGCCAGGCTCGGTGGTCGTGAACGACACGGGCAGCGCGGCTAGCCTTGCGCTTCTGTGTGACGCCAACGTGCAGGGGGGCACCTCTACGGGCAGCTCAGGAGGGTGTTTGCCAGGTTAGCTCCTACGCGCTGACGCTGCAGGTCACCACCAGCACCAGCGTCGGGGAGTGTATGCCAGGTTAACTAATGCAACCGCTGGAACTAGGAAGAGAAATCACAGAAATTGGGGAATGTGTTACATAGAAGTCAAACACATGAGTAAGTACTCTAACTCAATCGATGTTCGACTTGTTTCCCCGATGACAATTCGCTGGATTCGAATTCGTACTTGTTTTTATTAATAAGTAGACTTTTGCAGACATTTTTCAACTGTAAACACCTGGTCCTATTGATGTCGGTTGTCTCCGCTGTGCGGAAAGTTCACTCATTAAAGGTGCCCCTAAACGATCAAGCGGCTTGATCAAAAACTAGTGATTGACCGTGTAGTGATTGACCGTGTAGTGATTGACCGTGTAGTGATTGACCGTGTAATGATTGACCGTGTAGTGATTGACCGTGGAGTGATTAACCGTGTTATTATTGACCGTGTAGTGATTGACCGCGTAATGATTGACCGTGTAGTGAATGACCGTGTAGTGATTGACCGTGGAGTGATGGACCGTGTAGTGATTGACCGTGTAGTGATAAACCGTGTAGAAACGTTTTTGACGTTGGACGCATATAGCTTGACGGCGCTCGATAAAAAGTTTGCAAGACACAAGCGGCTGAAGGAAGGGATTGATCACTTAGGACTATTTACAGCCAGTATTGCGATCGTCAGTCACGCTGTAGGCTCCAAGGTATTCGCAACTGCAGAATGAGACTGCAGCGAACTCCTCTTTCTTTTTCTCAATGTGAACTTGCGTTTATGATTTTAAGTTGAAATTCATTGTGCTTTTCCTTAATATATTATGAAAAGATATACTTGAAAAATAATTACCTTTAATGTTTACCCTAATTCCTTCGTAATTGCTGAGTAAGTATCCATTATGACGGACTCCAGAGTCTGAGGAGGGATGGAACAATTAAGGGAATTTGAGATCTTCTAAAGCGATGCCAGACGCTAGGTATTTCAGAGTGATATAGTCTCTGATTTGCAAGAATCTCTTCAGGGAATTCGTATCCTTATTTTCAATGGCGGACCGTACTAATTCTATCAAAAATAAAAAATTTCTTAATTAATTCTAATAAATTTCCTGACGTCTTTGTGGTCCAAAATCCCGCAAAAAGTGCAATAAATGTTCATGAGAAAATAGATTTTTCAGTTTGGTATCACTCTTTGCACCAGCGCCGTTTTTAGCGCATTTTCTCATTTATGGAGAAAATGCACTATTGTGCTCGCCATGTCCGTCTGCCTGTCTGTCCGTCCGTCTGTCCGTCCGTCCGTGACCTCAAGTATTCGTCGACGAGAAAATGCGCTCTCTGTCACTCACTGCAGTGAGTACTGAGTTATATTGTTTGTTCTTTTTTTCGCTTTAGAGCATGCCAATGTTAGGGAGAGGAAGGCCACATCCGTATTAGAAACCATTGATCACCACAAAAGTCAACAAAGCAGCTCAAACAAACGCCGAGCAGCAATTGTGTAACGATATCATTTCCGGTGAGAGGAAGGTATTGATCAAGACTGTTTAACGTGTAAAAGGTTGATTGAAGCGCTCGTCAAATCTGTTGACTTGAGCTATTCATCAAGCCGCTTGATCGTTTATAGGGGCACCTTTAGTCTCCTCAAAAGCCTGCAGGCATATAACTCGGTTTTTGTTATTTGTATTTGTTATTTGTAAACAAGGGCATTCCTTTCAGACGTGTTGAACTCGACGATGAGTTCGCTGTACACGCGCGTCAACGAGACCGTGAGTGTCTACAACCAAACTCTACTGACGTACTTAGCGTTCATGTCAGCCCGTCAGCTGACTGACGCTGTCAGGTGCAACCAAATCAACAGCTCCTACATCACAGCCGCTACAAACTACCTGCAAGCCGCGCTATCGCAACTCAACGCTCACATCCTCTCCTCCATCAACCAGACCCTGAACGCCACCGAGCTAGTGGAGATGGTTGTGATGGTGCAGTACCAGCTGTTGAACCTGCGCCACGAGATGGTCGTCAAGGAGGACCAACTGATGAGGGCTGAGGCTGCAGACCTGGACACCACTATCGACGCACAGCTCCGCCTGCTGGACAAGTTGCGAAACGGAGGTAAGTTCTCATCACTATTGCTGTAGTTCAGTACAAATCTTCCTGGAGTGTAATTTTTCATTTGAGTAAAGTATCAATTCATAACGTACATTAAAAAAAATTCAACGTATGCACGATAGTGGCAAATACCTGCAAAAATAATAAATTTTATTTTGAAGTACTGTATTCAAGCCTCATTCTTCCGCTAAGTCATGAATGCACTAATAAATTGCGATGATGAATGCAAGGTAGAGAAACTCGTCTTAATTCGTTGAAACCCATAACTAATAACTTACCAGTGTTACATTGTAAGGTAATGCACTGGGCTACGTATTTCTAAAGTGAGATATTGCCTGAGAACCAGGATGACGCTTAGAAAATGAATATAAAAAATGTAACATTGAAAACAAAAAAATAAGATTCACAATTTGGAAGAGTTCCATAGAAGCTGGTAAATGTTCATAAATTATTTCTCCTTTGATTTTTATCTAGAAGATTCCTAATTTGAAAAGCACACTGAGAAGGAATTGTTTGTTCGTTTAGCATTCCAACATTTCTTACTAAACTGCATTGGCAGCAGAACTGGCCAAGTCTCGTCAAGCCGGTCATCGTGCAGTATGATTTTCATTTGCAGTTCATTAGTACGCTAATTGCAGAATTTGATGAAATGCAATAGTCTACCAGTTTTGCACGAGATGTTGAATTATTTACCAAACCATTAAAGGCTGGGTTCATTATTCTGAAGCTGAAGGTATACATGATACTGTTAAAGCTGGAGGCAACAGACAAAAGTTGGCCTTGCAATATTCTGACTATTTAGGATTCAGCTACTTCATTTTCAGTGAAATGATACAGAAATAAAAATGAGTAAAAAGTTTGTATTGTTTCTAATGAGGATCTAAGCGGTTCCTATATTGATCTCTCAATAACTAATTATCTATTTTTATCCAACAGGTCGCCGAATTTGGGAATAATGTATAATGATTTAATCTTGTATTCACCACCTGTCATTGTTGTATTATTATTTCTTTACCTGCTTATTTTTAATTTGCGTTGGTTTGTTTCAATTTTTTGCTCATCGAATTTATTCACATGTTTGTGATGGCGAGAATGAATATGGACGAATGGAGTATCCTGTGATGGCGCTATGCTTGACAGATGCGACACAGTTAGTGGCGGAGAAACATTGTGGAATCTCTAAGTTTTCGTCACATTTCGTTCTGCATTGTTTGCTCCTAATGTGTCCCTGGCCAAGCAAGCTTTTGAGTACAAACGTTTGAACAATGAGATCCCTAAATAATGTTGTCATGTTTTAGTGTTGTGTGTGAGAATGTGGTGCCTGGGATTTTTGAATAACATTGCTGAGTTTTCTGTCAGAAACTTGAAAATTATACTTGCGGGTTTGTGCACTTGCTTATAATAAAATGTATTAATTGAAAATTCACAACAAATAATTATCTTTTCCTTTGTCTTAGGACTCTTTTTGAAAAAAATATATTCCGCAAACTATATGAGCCTTGCTCACCATGCCGGAATAGTGTCCACCACTCTAGCGTCTAGTTGAAGTTATCGATGCTGCTCGAATAATTTAGAACTCTATGCTGTCTTCAGAATACACAAGCCAGGACAACCCAAAGTTAATATGAAGAGGAAAATGTTTTCTCAATGTGGTCCTTATGAACAGAAGAATATGTTCTCAATGTAGTATATTTGTAAAGAAACTCTCCTGGCTAAAATTTCAAATGCCACTTAATAATTCTTAGCCAGGCAAAGACATCGCTTCGAATCACGCAAAAAAATCACTTCGCGACTTATATTCCTTTCTATTTTAAACTACGGGATAGAAATTTTGCACATAAATAGAAATGAATGCATAGAAAATGAAGTTGGCCGCAAATAATCGATTCTGGTCATGATAAATTCAAAATATAGCCAAAAATTCCTGATTACAATTCATGGCGTTAAGAAAACTAAAGGCTGGTCTACACGCTCAGTTTTCACCACGATTTGTCTGCGCAGTTTTAAGTCGGAATGAAATCGTTGCAATTTTTAGAGCGTCCACACGGTGCCGACTTGTCTGAGTAGTTTGCTCAGTTTTGCGCAATCTCGCCATGGAGACGTCTCGGACAAATTTACTCGTTCGACCGAGGGCTGGTTCGACCCACGGCCTAGATACGGACGGCTTGAAGTGTTGAAGGCTACGTTCCGGAAGGCAGGAATCATGATGGTCCATTACATCCAGGGCAGTTGTTTTCTTCGGCAGGCGACCCCTCTGTAGCTCAGATTTCGATGCAACTGCGCAGTTTTCCCGCCGACTTCAAAACTGCGCAGTTTTCCCGTCCACACGCAACGTTTAAACTACAACGATTACTGAGCAGTCAGAGCAGACAAATCGTTGTGTAAAACTGAGCGTGTGGACCGGCCTTAACGTCAACTTACGCGAATGAAGGGTGCCACAGTCTTCGCGAACTCTCCGGTGAGAATGTACCTCTCAATTAACTCTAATAAATGACAATAGAATTTTATTACAACAGCGAGAAAATATTTAACTAAGTCAACTATAATAAATGCAACAGGCAAATGCAAAACCTGGAGTTTAAAATTAACCGGTAGAGTAACGAGACAATAAGCAATGATAATACAGATACAGCTACTCGTAATAAGGTACCATCCGGAACTAAAGGGACCGTACGAAAACTTCACGTCGTACCCGCACTGGACGTGACAGAAACATTTGTTTCAATGTAGTTTCATATAAAGACAAGAATTGACTGTGATTCATGAGAAGCTAGAAATATGTTCTCATTATGGTCAATATGAAGAGAAAAATATGCTTTTATTGTTGTCCATTTGGAAAGAAAATCCTCACTCTCGTAATAATGAATAATTTTGTGCGTGTTCATAACATAACATAAGTATTAATGGCTCTCGGAGGATTGTGGAGAAAATTTCAACGTTCTATTGGGAATGTTGCCTCAAATAAGCTGTTAAGAATTTGAGGCAAGAAACTTCTTCACGCAGCTACGCTGAGGAAGTATGCGATGCCTGCAGCCTTGTTCTTTACCGTATTATCCAGCGGCGCAGTAAAAGTTGTTAATAAGAATTAGTTTCTGGTCTTCAAACAAAATCTGCGTTAAAGAACACATACTTCCTGATAATATCGATAATTAAATATCAGGGTACATTTACTTGTCAGCATTAAAGTATTTCTGAGTAATGGAAGTCTTACAGAGGTGTTCTTTTGTACCTATTGATATTACAGTCTCAAGAAGTATATTACAAGTACGGTCTAAATGCACCCGAGTCTGATCCTGTGATTTATAGAGAGATATATTGCTCAAGTGCAATACATTACAGCAATACTGCTATTATGATTATTATTATTATTGTCAACGAAGGGTGTCAACGAATCAAGCTATTAAGCAATATAGCTATTACAATATTCCTCAAATGCAATATGTTACATTACACTTATGCATTGAGTTGTCTACTTGGCATCTGGCACATTCTGATCTCGCAATGTCAGCACAAATTACCAAGTTTGAAGCAAATTCATTCAACTTCAACACTATTCATATATAAGTTTTATTATTCAAGCAGAAAGAAAGCATTATGTATGAATATTTTTTTGTAGATGACTTTTCTATAGCAATTTTCTTATGTTTCCTTGTTCTGAGGAACAACGTGAACAAAGCTCGCACCGTCAGCTCAAACGTCGGTCATCAAAAATCACTATTTCTAAGAATATTTATGCCGGACTCCATGACCGGGAAAAATGGCACCATTAGGTTTTTAATTCAGGTTTTCTGCATCGAGGCTCAACTTGCACAATCCAAGGTACACTAAATACACTTCGACTCTAGTGAAGTAGTTTACATTCGAAAGCTTGTCTTCTAAATCTTTGCCTTCTCGTTCAAGTGGCACGGATAAGAAAATGAGACAGACGTTTCATGATGATAGGTATATTTAGATAATACACAATCGTACAGCAAAAAATTCATGCTCACGATAGTAATGCTCATGCAAATACTTCAGATACCGCAGTTACTATTCACACCAGCAACAATCAAACTATTTGCACTTACAAAGTGGAAAAATAATTTATCCGCTCAAGCAGAAATGAACCTTTTTAGTTGAGTTAATCAAACATGATAGGAAAAAACTATCCATTTAAAAACTTAGATCATTTGAATATGAATGACTGAAATAAATCAAATAAAGTGGCCTGTTAGTCAGAAATAAATGAAGAAGTTAAATTAGTAAAACATAGTTGAACCGTTGAAACTTCTGGAATGAAGGAAGGTAATGAGCCGTCGCTATAAACCGTATTGGCAGGTTGCCTTCACCTTTGAGCTCTGCACTCAATTACTGCGAACAAAGAAAGGGTCAGCGTCACAGGCTTCGGACTGCAGGGAAGATGGCGACTTGATGGTTCACGGTAAATAAAGATCAATTAGTGATTAAAAATAGAATATAACATTTATATAGTGTTCAGAATGGTATTTAATACAAAAACATTACCTGTGCTATTTATCAGCAACATAGTAAAATAAATAATTCATCTGTGTATCGTACAATGTACAGCCTTCCGACTGACTGTCCGTGTTACACAATGAGTCCGTGTTACGCAAGCAACACTGGACAGGCCATCCACCAGGCCTTCTTTTTAAATGATGGAATCCTCGCTCGTAGGAGTTCCCTTACAATGCTCCCTTACATCATCACAAGGACAAACTTACCTTTTGGTAAGTGAGAGTTAGAGAATCAACAATAAAATCTATTAAGATTTTCAAGCTCGTTATTTTCGTGAGGCGAAGAGCGGCAGTGAAATAAAAACTATGAATTCTTTATTACTAAAGCTGATATAAAACATTAAGTTCAACAATTGGACAGCTAACAATGGCCTTCAAATTTCAAAGAAAAACATTCAAAAAATCTTCGGAAATAATCTCAGGAGTTCCTAACTCAAGTCAATTACTGTAAGCATCAAACCAAGAAGTAGTTTATACCTTCATTTACTCACAAACAATTTTCCTAATGAAAAATGTGAAGGCAAGTGTTGGTAAGCCTTTCAGCCTTACCAACACAAGATTGTTTCATTGTCAGATGGCTGGTGGTCTGGTGGAGTAACCCTCCATCGTAGTAACATTTCTGTCATATAAAGTTTACAGTAATACACAATCGAAACTCATTAAAAATAGGACGTAAAATGTTGATTAAATATACATATACAATATAATTCAAGTTTAATATTCACTAACATTCATGATTCAAGGTGTTTCCCTGCACAGCAACTCACCTCTGATCTGGAGCTGGTCCAGCAGGCGGGCCTGGGCGTCAATGGCGGCATCGAGATCTGAAGCCGCGGCCGCCGTCCAATTCTGCTCCGCCGAGACAATCGCCTGCCGCAGGTCTGACAGCTGGTGCTGCACCATCGCAACCAACTCTACCAGCTCGCTGGAGGGGGCGTTCAGGGTCTGGTTGATGGAGGAGAGGATGTGGGCGTTGAGTTGCGATAGCGCGGCTTGCAGGTAGTTGGTGGCGGCTGTGATGTAGGAGCTCTTGATTTGGTCGCACCTGACAGCGTCAGTCAGCTGACGGGCTGACATGAACGCTAAGTACGTCAGTAGCGTCTGGGTGTCATTGCTCACTGTCGTATTGCAGCGCGTGTACAGTGAACTCGTCGAGTTCAACACGTCTGAAACAATCAATCGAGTTAAAAAGACGGAAATTTCAACGAACCAAGCTGCTAATTCCTTCAGCAAACCTAGCAAGCTGAATAGTTCATTACAGATATGCTGATAATTGAACAATTCAACAATGATTAAGAAACCGTGTAGGGTGTAAATTACGAGAATCGAACATATTCGGTTTTGCATCATTCACTCTAAGAACTGTTGCATGGAGTGAGTTTAATTTGATGCTCGGTTAGGTGTTGAAACATAGATAATCCACATATCCGGAAGGAATTGCTCAATAGGCTTGACAGAAGATTCTCACCAGCGCTGACAACTGTAGTTTGGGC